CACCAAATAGTGTGCATATAGCAATGCACACCAGAAAGTTTTCACTGTTGGTTACCATAAGAGTACATGCAAATTTTAAGTCACTATAATTTTTCAAAAGACCCATAAATTGATTTAAAATTTTGCAGGTAGCTTTTTAATAGTAATAGGAATCTAGAATAACAAATTCAACATGTTAGCATTGTTTAAGTATATAGCCTATACATCCTTAATTAGAATTTTGCTTCATTTGCATAGCAATCGAGTTTGGAACGAGTTTATACGAATTGTTCGATTCTGTCTTATTTTCCAACGTGTTACTGTAAATTTAATTTTTGCATATGTTCATGCCAAGCGAGTCGGGAATCGTTTTGTGTATCTCTGTCTATTATGAAGAAACAATAACGTGAACATACCTAATTATGTACTTAGAAGTAAACGTGTCATTACTTTGGTTATGTAATGCTAAATAAACACATAAAGATTTGATGAGCTCAATAAAAAGAAAAACAAGTGTATGTCTATCGTAATTGTCCATTCGCAATCGAATGACACTTGGAATTACTTTGTCATTCTCTGTTACAATTAGTATTCAGCCGGCGTATTCCCATAAACGTACTATGTCAGTTTATGCTCTTTTTATTAGCAAAGCCTTATTACGATGCGAAACGGCGATTGGTAAGAAAGAAAACGAATTGAATTCGAACATTCGTCGATTTTCCGCTCGCGGTTCAGGGAATCGGTGCCAACATTCCTCTTGCGTTTTTTCGCGGGGCGCGTTTCCGAGGGCGAGGAGAAGGAAATCCTTTTTTAATGCCGTCGTCGACGGGTATGTGCGAATACAATTATTAGCCGGCTCTCGAGTGAGTGGCTTCCCCGTTCTACCGACGACGCGGCCGCGTCGCGCGGCGTGCTCGCGGCGGCGGTGCCAGCTCATCTTTAATTCATGCCATCCGGTGGCTCGACTGGATCGATAAATTATAATTTCACCCCGTATCGGCCCGGCCGAGGTGACGGTTATCCGTCAGCCACCGGCTGGATCACGTATTTATACGATTTCCTTTTCCAGCGACGATGTAACATTTCCGATTATACCGTCATCCTCTTGTTTAGCCGACGTCTTATCGGCGGATTCTTATCGGCACGTCAATTGCGACACGCCGGCGTCTGCATACGATTGCGACAAACGCGGCGAAATGCCTTTTGAATGTGTCCCGCGGGCGAGGGTTTGTCGCTAGTAATTGCCGACGATTTCCAGACTCAGATGCGAGATAGTATCCTCAATCAAAAGGAAGTGCAATGTGTTTGTGCGGAAATTGAATATGGAAACAATGTCAAATAGATATGTCGACGAGGTATCAAACCATGTGTTAGAATAATAAATCACTGCAGATTTTTATATAAAATGAAACTTAGTATTAATTTAAACAATGAATGTTTATGCACTTTTTTAAACATTTAATCAAATAATACGTGTTCATTTCTAATTCTAATTATCGTAAAATAGCTAAAAGTAAAATAGAATAGCGAAATCATGCTAGGGATTTGTATTCATGTTTTAATAAGTGTCTGTTGGATGGATGGAAGTTGTACATGTGTAGTGTGAAAATCTGTCTACGTCTTGTCATTAGATTAATTAGAAGTTTCGTTTTGTATAAAAATCTGTAGTGATTATGATCATTGTTGCGCTGAGTTTCATACCTCGTCGACATACTTGCCAAGCTTTTCAAGCATTTATGACCCGGCGAAAAGAGTAGAAAAATTGCAACCAGAGAAGTAGCACATCTCTCCGCAAACAGCAATTATTCTATTTAAACACTCCAACGTCGTGTTCCGCTGTCTGTATTCATGGCCTGGAAATTAAGTTACACACCGAGAAGCCCTCGCGAAGGAAAAAAATACGTTCCATATTTCCCTGAAACAACCTACATCGCGGTTACCAGGAAATGATTCAGCGTTCCCGTTTTCCAGGACGACGGCGCGTTAAAAAAAGCTTTCTCTCCGGCGGAAAAGAGGGACCGTGTGTAACGTAGGAAGGAGGAAAACGGGAGGGAAAGAAATATAGTCCGGTAATCTCAGTGTAAATGTTTACCCTTGCAGGCTGAGGCAAGAGAGCCACGGAGGTGCCTGGTGCCCGAAGCAGCAGATCACCACGGAGCCGCGCGAGTGGCTGGAAATCGATCTTCACACGGTCCACATGATCACAGCCACCGGCACTCAGGGCCGTTTCGGCAACGGCCAAGGCGTCGAATACTCCGAGGCGTACATGCTGGAGTATTGGAGGCCGAAGCTCGGCAAGTGGGTTCGGTACAGGGACGTTCGAGGCGAAGAGGTGAGTGAGCAAAGAAGAAAAATTTATATCAATTAATCCCGAAATCTTTGCAATTTTATGAGCGAATTATGCATTTACATAAAACGTAGAAAATGCATTTAATGTCCATGTTCTACTGCACAGTCTCAACAGATTTTATAAACGGTTCATCCCTTATTTATTTAATATAAAATTTGTTGAGAAATTAGAAATGAGAAATTAGAACCGATAAGATGGCGAGGGAGAATGACACGTAAGGAACAAGGTAAGCTTGCGGTCAGTCGATCAATACCAAGTGTTTGGCATTCGCGACCATGGGAGCCGCGTGGCACAGAGAGAGGAGCATAATTCAATTCAATTAACCGGTCGCAACGATTCAGCGGCGGGTCAGGATCCGCGCGCGCGTAAGCGGAATCGCGGCGGTTAAATTTAGTCAGAGCGCGCGATATACAACGCGTAAAACGAGCGTGGACCGTGGATTATTGGGAATGATTTGTAGCCGTTGTCCGCGAGCCCCGTGGCGCACAGTGCAACACCGGCGCGGCGGCGGCGGCGGCGGCGGCGCGGGCACGGCACGGCTAGCAACGAGTAACTAAACCGTGACGTTAACAAGACGTAAATCTCGCAAGCAATATGCTCCCAGCCTCAAAAGTAGTCCGCTACGAGGTTCCGTTCCGATGGCAATTTACTAGAATGGATAGGTAACATCTACGACTTTAATTAGCAACACCCGACAATTGTACGATAGCTTCCTTGTTCGTTCACTACTGCTGGAAAATATACCATGCCATAAATATTAGAATACATCAGTAAATCGTAACTATATTGTAATTCATACAATGATTCATACAGGAATTAATATAATTATTCATATAATAATTGATACAATATTTGGTAGAATAATTAATTCACTAATTAGTATAACATTTCTTATCATGATCGTCACAGTGTTTCATCTGCCAAAGATAAATTTAAATCCAGACGAGAAAATTAATTAATGTACTAATTAATATAATTTTTCATATAATGATCAACGCAATATTTGGCAGAATACTTCATCTACTAATTGGTACAACATTTCTTACCGTGATTGTTACGATCTTTCATTAGCCAAAGTGGAAATACTGAAACCAGGAAATTATGTTGATGCAATAATTAATTTAATATTTCGTATAACAAATGACATAATATTTGGTACAGTAATTAATGCACTCATGATAAAATATTTCTTGTCATAAGTGTTTCATTTGCTAAACATAAAAACCGAAACCAGAAGATTAAAAAATGCTTAATCCTTAATAACGACATTAATACTTATAACGCAACAGTGTATGTACCAACGTGTTACCCGCTCGAGAATCTCGCGAATTTGCCGAGTGAAGAGCACCGGTGAACCCAACTGACATCGATGAATGAACTGTCCCTACAGAGGAATTTCGAACGCTAACGTGGGTGTTGGAAGTATATGTACACTAGATGTATCGAATTTTTATAAATACTTGTTTGACAGCCAATTGATTTCTCCTTATTTTTGTCCATACTGAATAGGATTGATTTTATTTTGAGAACAAGAATGAACACAGTTTGAACAAGTTGTAAAGTTATAAGGGATGACATAGGATAAATACAAATCGCTTAGCGACGTTATTTCCGTCTGATTTATCGTCGCGGAGGAATCGTAGGTGGACCCGGGAGGAATTTCCTTTATTTCGCGATATTTGTTCTGAAGAGCGACGCGGGAACCAATATAAGTCATTTCGTTCCGTCGACAATAACATTATTTTCGAGCGGTGTTTTTTATTTTATTTGCTGCGAACCCGACGTTTATTCCGACGACGACGCGACTTTGTACGATCGTGACTCGAGAGAACACAGAACGAGAGAGAGAGAGAGAGAGAGAGAGAGAAAGAGGAAGAAAAAGCAGGAGAGATAGGAAAGGAGTACGGCGAAAGAAGGAGGTGAACGTCCAGTCGACGAGGTGGATTTCCTTGCAAGTTAGTATATAGAGAGGGTGCTTCGAGCTTATTTGTATAGGAGGGTGGATCAATAAAACGAGGGAAGGGAAAGTCGTCGTCGCGTGCCCCGCTCTCGCGGGGTCAGACGATTTCGACTCACCTACATAGGCGTGTATGTACCTGGTCTCGCTGAATAGCCGAGGTCGTTCGAGCCGCCTGCTCCGCCGCCGCACATCGCCACGAAGGTCGAACTCGGCGAAATTTAACCACCCCCTATTCGACCATCGCGACTCCATTTACATGCCGCCGCGAAATAACCTTTCGGCTCGGGAATATTTCTCTCGGAAAAGAACTTTCTGACACGCACTTTCTTCCTGTTATAGCAGTGAAAAAGGTGGCGAAACCGTTCGCGCGAGAAATACTGTTACTCCCGTATGGAACTTCCCTCTTTCTTTAAACTTTCTTGCCTTACTACTGTGTAATAACGATAGATCTTGAATTTCATACGAGCCTTACACTTCTCAACTGATTTTATCAAAACACGTTTTAAATATAAAAATATAAAGAAAGACATAGTTCTCATGCATATTGCTGTTTTTTTAACCCATTTCCATCATTAATGCATCATTTTTTGAATCATTGTACATACAGGATGAATCCATGTTGAGTATCATTGTCCTCTATTTATTAACTTTACTATAGTATCTTTAGAAATAAAATGTAGTTCAAGAAATAAAGGAAATAATGAATAATGAGCTTATGGTAAATGAATAGAAGTGAAGTTAGTAAATAAGTGTTCATTTCAAATGGTAGTTCTTATTAGCTCACATCCTATTTATAACAGCATAGTACAGAGATGGGGAACGTTGCGGCCTTCGTAAGCTTCTTGTGCGGTCTCTTTGTACGGTTTCAAATGTTATTTATATTTTAATGTG